AGTCACTTTTCAGGCCTCCAGGCTGCTGCTTCTGCTCTCACAAAGCCTTTGGCTCTCTCTTGAGATTAATGTCCTTTGACCATAGGAAGTCCTTTTTCTTTCTGTACTCTGGGGATTATGGAGCCTGTAAGGAGTCCCACTGATTTCAATACAATCCACTTTGCCTCAGGAGTCCAGTCTAGCCTATCTATTTGCTGAATTAGGGCCTTGTTTTATCATTTTGTATGCTGTTTATTTCATCTTCCAACAAATCTCCACTGAAGATTTATAAAGCCTCCGTAAATAGTGGCTTATATTGGAAACTGTGACACATCCATAACTATTTCAGCATGAATAGTGCAACCATAATTATCATAATTGTATATATGAAACTAAAAATAATATCAATAGTTCAAGCAGTTAAATTGAAATGGAAGCCAATATCTTTTAAAATTGGCAATAACATTTTTCTTTTTTTGCTACCACTAAATATTGCTTCTAGCAGATTTTATGTGTACATTGTACAGTATAATAATTTATTACAAAAGATGCCCACTGGTTTTAGATTAAAATGCAATATAATATACATAAAGTTTTATTGTTCCTTTAAACAGGTTGTTTTAGACTAAAGTGGATATTTTGCTAAAGTCCCAACAAATGTACTAGTATTGCTGAGAAATGTGCATTACAGACCTGCCAATTTTTTTCATACAGTTTTTTATACTGTATTATTTTCATTGTACAAATATACAGCTGATAGAAAAGGAAATAATTAGGTACTCTCAATATTGCTGAGGCATGGAGCTAGAACAGGTCAGTCAGTGCATCTTATTGTGACATACTAAATTACCTGAACAATACCGGAAGCAATCTTTGGACCTAATTAACATCCCACCTAATTAATGTCATCTCTGTATGTACAGACCTCTAGACAGATTCACACTTTATTTATATATTAAATATTATTCAAATTTCTGTCTTTAATTTCTGTATTGAAAACTTAAGATTTCTGTGCTGTTTTCTTAAGTGGGAGTAACTCTTCCTTTTTTTTTTCTCCTTCAAGTAATCAATGCACTGCTGAATGAGTTCATTTTAATGCACTCAATCATGCCTCTAATGTTTGTAGCTTACGGGCGCAAGCATCAGTAATGCAGGAATGTTATATGGCTTTAGTCTGGCCATTTCATAAAATATTCATGGAATCAAAAATGTGCATCAAAATAGCGGTTGGGAGAATTACATTTATGTGCCTGCTTTTATGGTAGCTTCACATTTAAACCCATTTGTGTTAATATCTAGTCAATCTTTCTACTTAAAAAATGGAAAATGGTAGTGATCATATACATCCTTCTTTGGTTAATATTTATCTAAGATATCTGCTGTGATATAACATATATAAACTTTTGGAGTATTTTGTAGGAAGGAGATTTGTAAAGGAAGACTTGGATAATATTCAGAAATATAAAATGTTTGTCTACCATGCTTGTAAGTTTATATCATGTTGACTTTTGTTCTTTAAATGAATGGATGGATTCTCTTTTTTGTGGGCTTTTGGTCAAATAGTTTTATTCAAAAGTGCACTTTCCTTCCATTGAAAAACTATAACACAAACCTTAGTGTGTGTATATCTAGTTAGAATGAAAATAGTAATGATTTATAATATTTAATTTATTTAGTGGATGAATGATGCTTTGTATGAATATAATTGTTTAGAATGGGTCTCCTACTGTAGAAGATATGTAGTTATACCACTTCCTTCCAATTATTAAGATGAATTGATTACTGATAGCTTTTTGATGCCTTGTCCTGGGGCCCCAGGAAATTATAACATTTTTGTAGTACTTCTATATATTTTATAAGAATTACATTTGTGATTCTGACTCATTTGATTAAATGAGAGAAAGTATCAGTATTTCTCAAAATTCAAGTTTGAGTCACATGGGGATAACTTCTGAGCACATTGCTTGGGGAAATTAGACATGCGGTTACTTTTGTTAACAATAACAATGGAAATTAATTAAATAATTTCCTGTGTAACATTTTGAAAATATGTGCTATAGATTGTCTGGAAGCAATAATTTTTCTTCATGGAATCTCAGGTAGATATATGGGATATCCTTTCCCTTCTACAAAATATTCTTGAGGATCCTTCCCACTGTCTGTCCCTCTTCTTCTTTTCTCTATCTCTCTCTTTCTTTTCTCAAATGACAGTAAAAATCATTTTTAAGCTACCCTTCCTGTAATTGAATTGATATAAAAATAAATCCTAACTTTTAATGCAGAGATGCTGTGTAACCAGCTTCCTTTCCTCCTAATACTTTCCATAATTTTTATCTATTTATTTATTTTTGAGTTCTTACAAAAATGCCTATTCAAGCTCTAGCTACTTGTGCAACAAATAAAATAGACAACAACAATAATAAAAAACAAAAATAACACAACACTTAAAATTAAAATACAGGAGCCAATCCAACTAAATACACCAACTCAAACTGAACCAACTAGCCAGACAGAATAAATAAATTGATTCCCCATCACCCTGAAGATTTTAGTCTCCCCAAGCTTTTGACTGTCTGTACTGAAATGCTTCAGAGAACGGATAAGCCTTGCAGGTGAAGATGAGCAATTTCAGGTTATTTTGGAGTTAGGAGTCAATTCCAAAAAATGAAATGTACTACTAACAGTAACTTCCCATTTATATCCAAGAGGACTTCACTTTGAACTCTTCTGCTGATTGCAACTGGGTAGTATTGCAAAGTGATTCTCAAGTAGACAAATCCCAGTCCTGTTAAGTCAAAACCTTTCACTTTTTCTTTGCTTAGGAAATTCCCAGCCTATTTCTAAACTTATATTTCTTTTTATTTTCTGTTTAGCATCTTCACTCTTTTTCTTCTGTAACCAGATTGAGTTACTTGTGTTTTCAATCTTGGCTTCTTTTTTTGTCTCTGTAATGGAACCACACTTAGATGCATTTTCACCTAATTCCATCTGAATGATACCAGAAAGCACAGTCTGCCTCTGTATTTTGGTGCTTATCGAATTCTGGCAACAAAAATGTCAGGACAGGGCCCTTATGGCTAGTTCAAAGGCCAGTGGGGTATGTGGAATATATTACTTCAATTTCCGCTCTGTCAGGAATGCTCTCAAGGGAGTCCCTCAAATATGAGATTTTATGGGAGAACAGAACCACCATATCCTATAGCTCCAAACATCCTAAACAGACAATAGAAAAGCATACTGAATCTGGAAGTGCACCTGAATCTGTCCATCTAAGAGATAACATCTCAGAATCTGAGGAGGAACAAGTACATTAGATTCACCTTCAACCTTCCTTGGATGACTTGCTTGTCACCTCTTCCTGTCCCTAGAAATTGTTTCTCCTGAAGGTGGTTTTTTTTCTTTTTAGTTTCCCCTGAATGAAACCACATGTCTGCCAGTCTTTTCCCTCCATAATACATCTGGTGAAATTAGGTTGCATAAATTGAATGGCAAAAAAGCTTTGCACTATTACCTGAAAAGACTCCAGCCCTTTCAAAAGTCCAAGCCATTTGTTCATGGACTTTGGGGGAAAAAACAAAGAGGGAAGTGAGTTGTGTCAGAGACTAGCCAAGTGCATAAAACTCTATATCCAGCTCGTTGAGTCAGAGTCTCCAATTAATTTTCATAGTCGTCTGTCCCAGAACCAAGGACAGCTTAATCTCCAGTCTCTGAACCTAGCAGTTTGGAGTGTGGTATCATGTTGACTTTTGATTTTGACTGTCCCTGAGCAGTTCACCAGACTGTGATAGAGGTTGTAAAGTTTCCTCAAGGAAGACTCATGCTTTGAAATGGAAGATAGATATTGTTATGGGTCTTTAATAAGTCTTCCTCTATTTGTCACAACACCTGTTATATTAGGCTATCAGTAGATGGTCCGCTTCCCTGGATTGACTGTAATCACAGTCAAGATTCATTTTGAAGCTGTATCAACTTAACTGTATCAATTTCTGATTTTGAGTCTTCATACATCCAACAGTTGAAGTTTTTGAAAGAACTCGTACGTATCTTCCTATCTGTGTATGAGCCATTGCTTACGTGGGACTTAAATTGCTTTAACAAAGCTCGTGAAATTCCATATTTAAACTTCTTGAAGATTGTCCCCTTTACCATCTATCTTTGAAGACAATGTTGTCATGGCAATAACTTCAATCAGAAGATTTAGTGAGGAGCAATCCTTGATGACTGGCCTTTGTTACACAGCATTCACTGGTATAAAATGGTACTTTGTCCAAACTATAAATTCTTTACTAAAATTACCTTAAAGCTCCTTCTGAACCAATCTACCTGTCTCCTAGCATTTCTGGAAGCCCATTCTTTACCCAGGGAAAGCTAGTCTCCATAAATTAGAAGTTAAGGAGGCTTTGAATTACTATCTTGGGAGGACTAAATTAATTGTAAATCTACTAGGCTGCATCTGTATATAAATCCTGTAAGGGAGAAAATCCACTCAGATTGTTGAAATGGATTAGACTTTATCTTCAAACTTGTGTTTACCTTATCAGCGTTTCAGTAACCGAAGATCTTAGAGCACATTTGAAAAATTCTACCTTCTACTCCTTTCTTACTCCTTCAGAATCTTTCAGCTTAGGATCTGGACTGTGGTCCTTTACACACACTTGATTTTAAAATATCATACCCACAAGGTATGGCTTCTACTTTCTAGAAGATTCTGACTTCTGCTTCTTAACATTGTGGATCTATACAGGCAACCTACTCAAAAACTACATTTACTAGTAAGTAACTTGTAGCTTGGTCAACAAACTGTGAACTGAAGGTAAAGATGACTTACTGATACCTGTAAGATGTGGAATACTTTTTCCATTATTCATATTTTTATTAAGTTACGGGTTGATGATTATTGAAACCTTTGTGAAGTGAAGTTAGAAACAATTTCTTTTGTAAGAAAATGATAATATGCAAAATGTTTTGGAATATTTTGTTAAGTATACTGCTTATATTTATGAATTAGTTGTGTTTTTCAGGTCAGTTCATGAAAGCTGCTGAGCATTATGAAACATTCCATCAATTGACACTGGGACGGATGTGGAAGGATGAGACAGGCCACACTTACAACTCACTGGCCTCTAAGCATCTCTGGAGAATTTACACTTTACTAGCAGGCAAAATGCTAGAAAATACAGAACACCAACAGGCCATCAAAACTCTAATAAAAGCTTTTGAAATGGCAAAAAAAGGTGGGTGGAAAATAACACTCTCACATTCCTTTCTTTAATGTGCAGGCTCTGATTTTCCCAGGAGTAAGGTAAAAATCGTCAAGGGTTTGAATGATTATTTCCTATGAAATTCAAAGACAAATGCCATCAGTATACTTCCAAATCTCACTGTAAAACAGAAGTGCCTTCTTGCTGACAGCAAGGAATCCATTAGTTTCTTGAAAGCTTTATCTCCAAAAATGCAGTCTTCTGGGACTATAGTGTTGTAAAACAGTGAACCCATAATCAGAAGTAAGGTCATTTACAGAAGTTGAGATTTTTGTAGGTTAGCCACTGTTGATTTTTCATTTCCTTAGTAATGTTATCAGGCAGATCACTACTGTTTCATTCTACATGACTGATAAATAATTATAGAAACAAGACCATTTGTTTTCCTTCTGCAGCCTTTCCAGTATATCTGAAATACTGAAAATAGTTTTAAAATTTAAAGTTCAGGAAATGCTGTATATGACAGCTAACATGACAGTCTTAGTGTTTTGACATCCATAGTAAGGATCCAAAAGCTGATGGAAATTTGAATGAGGATGGCATTTGAATATATGATGTCAGATGCTGAATAACTACAAATCAGCTGCTTATTCATGTGGCATTATTATGTATGAGAGAGAGTAGAAAAGGGAGAGTCAACCATCACAGTTGATTTTAAGAAAGTACAGATTATTTTTCTGGTTTTGGGGTTATCTTAATAATGCTTATTTGCTGGAAGATGCCATTAGATTCCAACATCTACAGTTTTCTGTGTTCTGAAGGGGGAAAAAAATGATTGTATGTGTTTCCCAGAATTAGAATGGAAGATATTGTATAATCACCTTTATTCAATTAGCATTGTTATGCTAACTTTGTGGCATCTTTAATAGTTTTTGCATAAGAATTATGGTTAATACACACTAGTAATTTGAAATTTATCAGTAGAGAAATTTTAATCTAAATGTTAAGAAAATATATACAAGTATTGATCAATCACTCAGTTCCTAAGGAGTAAGCTACAGCCAGAGTCACAAAAAACAAGCTACAAACAAAAAAAAACCCATTCTGCTTATGTGTTTAATCTTGTAAAATAAAGTTTGTTACAGTGAAATAAAATAAAGTTTGTTCTGTGAAATATACAGAACAGTATAAAATGTATAGAATTAAGCATTAACTGTGCTATTCATTATTTAAAACAATATTGAATTATTTCTGTTTGTTTTCTTTAGTCATATTGTTTCTAAAGATCTAATGTTGTTAAAATTTCTTTATACTGTTAAAAAGTTGAATACGTAAAAATACCAGCTTAAAAATCTATATTGCACTCTGACACTGTAATTTTTTGAGATTAAAGCAAAATGTTTTTTTTTAAATTTACTACACCCTGGGTCTGAGGTTTCCATTAATTCCATAACAGTCCTTTTGAACATGTCTTTTTTGAGTGCATTTGTCTGAATGTTGATTGGATGGTTCCTTCTTTCTTTAGATTTGGCCCTTAGGCAATCTGTCCTACTTCTTTTTCAACACAGAAGCTAATAGTTCTCTTCTGAGAGTTGCTTCTTTAGAACCCACTCCTGGGAGCATGTGACTCAATAGTGTGAGTTCCAAGACCATTTAAAGCAATAACTGTTGCAAATAAGCGTATATTCTACCACAAAATGAAACCTTTCTTATGTCATGCTTCTTATTATTTGTTTACATATTCAAGAGAATTGTTAAGAAATTATCAAAGTGGATTTGACTCTGCATTGACACCACCAGGCAGCTATCCCAATTTAGAGCTGGTCAAATATTTTTGACCAAAACTTATTTGGAAAAAAATGCAGATTTGGCAATTCCTAACCATTTCACAAATTTGTTGATTTCACCAAATTGTTCTAGTTAAAGAAACCAAACCAACTTTTTGGTTTGAAATTTCCTTTAATTTTGTTTAATTTAGAAATTTTAAAAATGCTCCAAATCTAAACAAACTTTTTTCAATATATCAATTTGCTGAAATTTTTGAAAAAATTTCTTTTATGGGCTGACCCAAAACACCTTTTTTCCCCAATTTTTCAGAATGCCAGAAAATTGAAAATCCATTATTCACTACCAGATGGCTTTAGAGCTCTTATTACATGAGCTAGACAGCTATTACAGCTTGCTGAGACATGTGTCTTTGAAACTTGTGGGAGTTCTGCAAGTTACACCTTTACTCACCATTATTTTGTAGATATTTAAACGAGATCAGATGCTCATTTCAGATGGGCAGTCCTTCAATCTCTGTTCAAAAGCCTGCTCTCTCCCTCAAAGAAGCCCTGATTCAGCAAAATATTTAAGTACATGATTAAGTTTAAGCTAGTGCTTAAATCCATCTCTCTTCAGCATTCAATCCATTCCACTGGGCTTAAGCCTGTGGTTATATGCTTTGCTGAATCTGGACCAGAAATTGATAAACAGTCTCTCAAGATTCAGGCTCTACAGAGACAGGTTTTGAGTGTATTTCCTCTGTAGAGCCATATTTGCTCAACCTCGTTCCCTGCCCCCGTGGAATCTTAGGAAAAAGAACAGAAGGGTTTGGGATTGCCTGCTTTTATAATTTTACCAAGTGTGTTCAATTCTGTAGGTAGGGGGGTGTCCTAATGGGCTCAGCAATTGTGACTTTCAAAGATTTCAGGACACTTGGAGCCTAAACGCAAACTTCCATGAGTGTGGATCTGTAGAGACAATATATTAGGAGAACATGAGAAGTAAATAACCTTCCTTTTTCATGTGTAGCTGTTTATACTGGTGCAGAAGTTGGGAATTTGTTGACCTTCAGGACCCATTTCAAAGCTCATTTTCTAGGCTTTTTATGTGTTGAATGGTCAGTATTGCATGATGAAAGAAGGTTTTATATTTTCGACATGGATTCCAATTTGTTTGCTTTACTAATCAATTTTTGTATATATACCCAAACTCTGGGTTGGTGAATTTTGAAAAAATGATGTAAATAAATTATTTTATATAAATTAGACTATTAAATATACAAACCAGGTTTTCTTTTGCTGGAGTAGTGCAAAGAGCCAAGAAAGCAGTCCATTTTGGCCAGCTGAGAATTCCCTTTGCTTTTGGGAGCTCTCGGTGGGGCCAAATGAGCTTATCTAACTCAGTTGCCACCCCCAGTCTCTGGAATAAGGAAGAGCCACATCCAGAATGTGCTGTACTTCAGTTGTCCACCATTTGTGTAGCGTTTCCTGGAACCATTGCCAGCTAGTATAAATTACAGCAGCTTTCAGGCTGCTCTAGCCTATGCTGGTGTGGAAACCTATTCTGAGAATCAGGGAGCTGTAACTGATTTCCTGGCTTCTTTCTGCTGCACCAAGTTTCTGTTTATATGTAGCTAAATAACTGTATGGAGATATTGTACTGACCCTCTAAATGTAAGGTGTTTCATGACTGTCTTTGGAGAAGCGATGGCAGTGCTGTGAAACAATTCCTAATAGAGAGCCTTATAGCATGACAAACTGTGTGCTCTGTCTCATGAAAACATTTGCAGTTCCTATGTTTGTGGCTTTTTTTTAATTGAGTATAAGTGCTCTAGATAAACATGGAAAACATCAATGTTTGGAAAGTGATAAATGACAAGCTATAAGGAAAAATGTAATATGTTATTAAAAAATGACATGTACGTTATTTTCAAGAGCTGTCAGTAGTAGTGTAATTTGTTTAGAACTAAGAGTAATTATAACCCAACTCCTCCCCTTTAGGAGGTGATAAGAAGATGGAAGGAGAATCTGCCTATTGCTTAGGGCTAGCCTATCATTCTGCTGGAGAAGAACAGACAGCAATAATAGTGAGTTTACTTAACATTTCTTAACATGCATTTTATAATTTGTCTGGAAGCAATTACCTTGGCTTTACTATTAAGTGGCCTTAAATAAAGGTAGATTTTGATCTGCTATTTTTAGTGATGAAAGTTTTTATTACTGTTTAACATTTATTTTATGATTTTACTACAATAGCCTGTATGAAATATCTGCTGGGAATAGATGGTGAATAGAATGGGAAAGAGTTCTACATGTGAGAATTCTGGAAGGACAGGACCAGTAGTCCATCTTTGCATCTTGGATCAATTTTAGAGGAAAGATCAGTGACAACCCAGTATGCTTCTGCCAATCACTGCTGTATCTCTAGGGAAATATGGCAGCATTCTATGATCAACTGTAACAATGTTATGGGGAGATCCAGTAGTAGGAGTATGGATGTATTTTGTCCTTGTCCGTGGACAAACAAAAGGGTGTTCATCAAAACAACCAGTGCCATCTCTGTGCGTGCCCAAGCCTTAAACTCAGTTTGGAGGGATCCAGTGTTCTAGCAGCGGACATATTTCATGGAGAGGACTCTTCACTAGTTTCTTTTATTAACTTGCTCAAAAATTGAACCCTGGAAACTGGATAATAGTTGAAGTTGGTTGAGTTGAGCAATGATTTCTTCAGTATCAGCTGGTTTACTGTATGCTTATAGTTGATGATGGATTTCCCTCTTCAAAGGAGACATTAATAATTTGACGTTCCAGAAACTTTCTATTATCTTTTTCATGATTCTTCAATGCTTCTTGGATTTTCTTCCATGCAGATTGACTGAACTGTGGAAGAGAGGGTGTTATGTTATTTGTCCTGTTATAAACATGTGGTTTCTGGTGTTCAGAGAAGTCAACCCTGATGCTGCAGATGATCAGTCTGAATAGGCTGATAAATCCTTATACCCAGAGGTGCTGGGCTGTGAACTTAAATGCAGACATTTCAGACTGAGAGAGCAGTTTATGATCCAGAATACTTTACAGAGTGAGATTTAGTGGTTGCAATGGCAAAGGAGAAATATGGATTTTTTTTGCCTTTTCCAGGGTTCTGGAATAATAGATTAGACTATAATTCCTTGTGCTGAAATCTTTCTGCATGTCCACAAGTTTTTGACCACAAACACTCCAAGTTTTCTTTCCTTCTTGCTGCTGCATTAACAGGTGTTTGAGAACCTATGGGAATGAGGAGCAGAAAGACCGGTAATAGAGATAAAGAATTTGGCATGGACACTTGATTTGTTCATGACCAGGAGAAGCTCCTTGACCAACAAGATGAGCACAGTCTTCATTCCATTCAAAGGCCAAAACCATAGTTGAAAGCAGCCCAAGATTATCTGGAAATTATGATATTGTCAGACAGAGTTTCCTAATCACCCTCTCTTGCATTATTTTTTCTTAAAACAGGAGGGTTAGAAACCAGGTGATCATTTACTAACCTGTGGCTTTTTGATCCTGGGTCAAATAATTTCTTTTTTGGAGAATGCTGGAACCTTTGTTCTTTTAGTTAAGATGCTCAGCTTTATATATTAGTGTGTGTTTTATAATAATGTTTAATCAACAGATAAAAACAACTTGACAGATGGTAGAAAACAAATTTGCCTTTTTTGTTAAATATGAAACACTCCCTATACAGTAGTGAATGTAAATGGGATTCACTAGGGTGGATCATAAAATAGTTTAAGTATCCTCATTTACGCTGTAGGTTATTAATATTTTCATCACTTGTGTGCTAATTAAAATAAACATATTAAATAGAGTTTAACTTACGAATGTTGTATAAAATTGCAAGATCAACTCTCTTTACATAAACTGAGAAGACTTTCATTTAGAAAAATAGGTTAGTTTTCACTTAAAAAAAAAAAAGTACCACATTATGAGAATGAGAAAAGAAACAGGTAGTATTTTATTTCATGCATTCTTTTCATCCTCAACTGTGATCAATATATACAACAGCAAAATATCAATGGTTTCAGTGCCACTGAGCACAAGTTTTCTTTACTCTCCAATTAGAAATCATTGCCTAAAATTTACCCTTCTGTTCTCAATTTAATGGTCTCTGTATCCAAGGGGAGCTCAGATGCTTACAGAGATGAAATCATTGCATCCTGTTCCCAGAGGACTACTGGTTATCATTAAACATAACATACAAACAATACTGCTAGGAGCCAGTTTGCTTCATGGTAATGTGTAGTTCATCACCAGCTTCTGTAGCATGCTAAAGAGGTCTTGCCACTCAGCTTGGGACTATTTGAGTGTAGACTCAGGGGTCTCAGCAGTTATTTTCCTGCTTTGCATCAGAGTTTTCATCTTCTTTATCCTTTTGTGCTGTGGCCCACCTCAGGCAGTCTTCTTCTGGGGGAATCTAAAAGGAGCAGCTGTTACAAATACCATTTCCTCAAATTGTTGCCATTTGGTTCCTTTTGCTATTTAGTGTGTCACTTCCTCCCCCCCAACATGCACACACACCAGTATGCATATAAACTTGTTTCTCTTTCATTATCTCTTCTAACAAAGGGGAGAAGCTTATGTTCAAAATATTCATTGTCTGACACAGTAATTAAAAGGTTGAAATTATTAAGCTACAATCTGTTATATCAAAAATATAGCCTCTTTTCTAGAGAATGGAATATTTTCAGTGAATATAATTTTTATTGCTAAGCATGTAGTATATAGAATAGAATATATTGCTAAGCATGTAGTATATAACGTGACTAATTGTTGATCAATTATTTATTTGATACATGTAACCTCAGTTTTGCAAAGACTGGGGGCAAGTCTACACTATAAAATTAAGTTTACCTAAGTTACCTTGATGTACAGCCACTATAGTAATTAAATTGCTTTTGCATGTCCACACTGCGCTCCTTTTGTCGGCGGTGGGTGTCCTCACCAGGAGCGCATGCAGCGATTTAACTGTCACTGTGGGGCATTGTGAGATGGCTTCTGAAAGTCAGCAACAGTCGATGTAAGCAACGCAGTGACTATACTGACACTGCGTCGACCTAACTACATTCCCTAAGTGCTATACCTCTGGCAGAGGTGGAGTTATTAAGTCGGTGTAGTGGGAGAGATACACAGGTGGAAGAATATTTTAGTGTATTTAGACACTAACAGAGTTAGGTTGACGTAAGCTGTCTTACATGTAAACCAGGCCTGAGTTCAGTGGGACTATTCAAGTGTGTAGAGTTAAATACGTGCGTAAGTCTTCGCAAGATTGAGACTTAACTCCATTTAACATCTTTGTGGTATTTTTGGGTGTCAAGCAAGGTCCGCTTTATTATTGTATCTAATTGCTTTTGCCATGTTTGGAAAAAAATATAAATGTCTGAAATATAAAAATCTACTGTGGATTTTGCCATGAAGAGGTTAGCTGGTTGCTGTCTAGACTAACTCGACAGTAGGTCTTGCTATAGATGCTTCTCTCCAAAATTGTATTGCTAACCAAATATTTGTTACAAATATTTTCATATAATTAGAAATCTTGTATATGGCAAAGTATTGCATATTTGACATGGTTTTTTAAACTGAATGTAGATTTTATGGCTAGAAACATTAGATAAGATCTGATCATACCTAGACTCTGTATTCTGATTGTTTTTGAATATCGGAAATTCTTTAAGGGAAAGCAATAGTGTTCCTCCTCTGGAGTCTGTCTGGTTTTTTTGGGGCGGGGAGGAGAACTTTGCATCTGAGTGAAGGAGCACTTCTGATTGATGTGAACTCAGGGAGCACAGTACTTATAGGTCAGAATTCTTTGTGTAAATCAGGGGTTGATGAGAGAGTTGTCCAAATATTGATAAGTTTTCAAGGTTTACACAATTATGAGATGTGCCACCATTACCAGGCATTTGATGAAGATTTGAAGATCCGTAGCAAAAGGAGACGGGGGCACTTGTATTGGTAGTGATCATTGCCCACAAAAAATCTTCTCTTTGTTACCCTGAGTGAAATGTGTAATTATGAATCTCTCAGGCTGAGAGTCTTGAACCAGTCCTACAACTTCAGGGAAGGGATGATTGTTGCCATCGTCACCACATGAAACCTGAACATTCAGTTAATTTGTTCAGCTTCATATGGAAAGAAGATATAACTTTTTAATTTGGATTTGTATGGTGCTAGGCATTTCCCGGTACCATGAGGGATTTTGTTGATTGCTTTGTTTTAGAGAAGCCTCTTCATCTCTAAGAAGTTTCTCATTACAGGGATCCCTGAAGAGGGATGGGAATAGAGGATTGAGGTAGCATGGAGTGGAACTGAATAGAGTGCCCTTTCTCAAAAATGTCATGACATTTTTTCCCTTCAGTGCTCACCTATGTGACACCCAAATTTGCATCTTAGTGATGCCTTGTTTGTCTTGGAGCAAATCAGTGGTTTTCCTTTGGGGTCTGTGGTTAAAATGCTTTCCTGTTTGCTCAGATAATGGTGTCAGAATAGCTCCATTACTAATGGACTGGATTTCTCTCGGGTAACATGCCCCAAATATATACTCTGAGGGGAAACCCCCTTAAAAGTGATTCAGTTAAAGAAAATTAGAATTAACATAAAAATCATATGCCATGGAAAAATGGAATATACTGAAAGCATGTTACTAGATCAGAAGATTATCATGCTTTTGGAAAGCTTTAATTCATCAGAAAATAATAGCATTTGTAAACATCCCTTCTTACAGTTAATAGCCTGACTTTTTTGTCTCAGGGTTGCTTCTCAAGAGTAGGAGACTCATGTCTCTTTTAGTTCTCAGTTTTTATCACTTAAGCCCCCATTTCCCCACCTCCTCCCCCAGAAAACTAAAAAGATGATGAGCTATAGTCTTGGCTACCTATCATGATAGATTAATCTAAAATAAATCAACCTTTCGGCATAAACATGTTTACATGACCATCAGTATCCGTTGTTGGGGAATTTGTGTCACAGGCAGTAGGGGAATTGGCATTGTGAACCGGTGTCAGGAAGTCTAAAAGACTAACTTTGAGTATTTCTCTGTATCAGATAAT